TTGCTTAATTATTATATTAATTAAATAATATTTAACTCTTAATATTTTTTGCTAAATTTGCAGGGCGTAAGTATAAGGTTTGCTTAATTATAATAATAATATAAATAATCAATTATTTTGTGTGAAATTGACAGTTTGTAAGTATAAAGTTTTTTTGATTATACTGTAATATTAATACGAGTTATATTTAACTCAATTATTTTTTGTTAAATTAACAGTTTGTAAGTATAAAGTTTGTTTGATTATAATATTAATATAAGTTATATTTAACTCATAATTATTTTTTGTTAAATTAACAGTTTGTAAGTATAAAGTTTGTTTGATTATAATATTAATACGAGTTATAATTGACTCTTAATTATTTTGTTTAATTAACAGGGCGTAAGTATAAGTTTACTTAATTATAATATTAATATGAGTTATATTTAACTCTTAATTATTTTGTGTTAAATTAACAGGGCGTAAGTATAAAGTTTGCTTGATTTTTATTTTAATAAAATAATATTTAAATCTCAATTGTTTTATGTCAAATTAACAGGGGGTAATTATAAAATTTTCTATTTATTGTAATAAATTAGCATAAGCAATTCTTTAACTCTTAATTATTTTTGTTTTAAATTAACAGGGAGTAAGTATAAAGCTTTCCTATTTATAGTGATAGATCAATATAAACTACAAACAATACTTAACTCTTAATTATTTTTGTGTTAAATTAACAGGGAGTAAGTATAAAATTTGCTTAATTATTATATTAATTAAATAATATTTAACTCTTAATATTTTTGTGCTAAATTTGCAGGGCGTAAGTATAAGGTTTGCTTAGTTATAGTAATAATATAAATAATCAATTGTTTTGTGTGAAATTGACAGTTTGTAAGTATAAAGTTTGCTTGATTATAATATTAATACGAGTTATATTTAACTTTATTATTTTTGTGTGAAATTAACAGATTGTAAGTATAATGTTTGCTTTATTATAATATTAATACGAATTCTATTTAACTCTTAATTGATTTGTGTTAATTAACAGGGCGTAAGTATAGGGTTTGCTTAATTATAATATTAATACGAGTTATATTTAACTCTTAATTATTTTGTGTTAAATTAACAGCTGGTAAGTATAAAGTTTTCTTGATATAACAATTAATATGAATAATATTTAGCAATTGATTATTATGTGTGAAATTAACAGGAAGTAAGTATAAAGTTTACTTGATTATAATATTAATACGAGTTATATTTAACTTTCAATTATTTTTCTTTAATTAACAGGAAGTAAATATAAAGTTTGCTTGATTCTAATATTAATACGGGTTATATTTAACTCTTAATTATTTTTTGTTAAATCAACAGTTTGTAAGTATAAAGTTTGCTTAATTTCAATAATAATATAAATAATATTTAATTCTCAATTATTTTATGTTAAATTAATAGTACGTAAGTAAAAGTTTGTTAATTAGTTATTAATATAAATAATATTTAAATTTTATTTCTTTGTGTTAAATTAACAGTGCGTAAGTATAATGTTTGCTTAATTATAATAATAAACATGAATAATATTTAACTCTCAATTATTGTGTTAAATTAACAGGGGGTATGTATAGTTTGCTTTTTAGTAAAAAAAGGTTTCTATATTATTAAATCATCAAATTATTATTTAGATTGTAAGTATAATTTTTTAAAAATATGTGTCTAAGTATCTTCGAATTATCACATTATTAATCATTTCCAACAATTATTAGATCGTAAGTATATTGCCTATTTAAAATATATTTTTGTTAAAAATAGTATTAAAGGATTTATTGTATTGAATCAATAGAGAGTATGATTAACTCCTATAAAACTATTACAATTGAGTCTGCATATAATTATTATATTAATAATTTATTCATTATTATAAGAGTGTGAGTATAAAGTTAATTATATTGCATCAATATCACATTATATTTAAAATTAATTTTCGTGTCAAATTATCAGGCTGTAAGTAAATATGTAAATACTATGTTGTAGCATTATGTTTTTGTTTGATAATTGATTTGTTTTTTATTAACAGGGCGTGAGTGTAAATTTATATTATGTTCTTAGTTTTTAAAATGTCATTAAATACTTATTTTTGTATTGATAGAATGTAAGTATATACTTTATATGTTACTTTACGAATTGTCAAATTGTTGAGCATTTATGTTAATCCGTTAGAATGTAAGTATAATTAATTTAATTGTCATAATTATATATATATATTATTAAATTATTTTGCATTAATTTAATGTGACATGAGTATTAAAAATTCCAAAATTAGAGAATTACGGATATTAATTATTTATCAATTAACAGGAAGCAAGCAAAAATATTATTTAAATTAAAATATTAATAATATATGCAAAATGTTATTGATAACGTATTTTTGTTAATACTATAGAAAGTAAGTATAATACTCATCGAAGTATCTGCAATTATTATTAAATAATAAATTGTTTCGTATTAATTTATTAGATGGCAAGTATAAATTCATATTATTATTTCCCGAATTTATGTTGATTTTGATTGATTTATTTTTATATTAAAATACAGGGAGTAAGTCAAATTTTTTAAATACATTTGAGTATCTTGATATATTTCGAAATAATTTGATTTGTTTTTTGATAAAAAAATAATAGGACGTAAGTATAAATTGTAAATCATTTGATTAAAAGTTTAATATACTAATTTTTATTATTTGCATGTTAAAATATTAGAGAGTAAGTATAAATTTTTTTAAAAAAGTTTTTTTTTTCGATATGTTATTTATTTTTTAAATTATTTGTATTCAAATTAACAGTGAGTAAGTATAGAAATATTCAAACGTTATTTTTTAAGTATTATAATAAATTTTAATTTTAATAAATTTTTTAATATTAGACTGTAAGTATGAAGTTTAAATAAAAGTAGAAGGATTTAACATTAACAAATGCAAATAATTTCTATAATAATTAACAGAAGGTATATATTTACTTAAATATTACATTATATTTTTATAAATTTTATTTTTAATTAATTTTTTTCTTTTCCTCGCATTAAATTATTAGTCGGTAAGTATAAATCGATATTAAAATAAGTATTTAATAAATAATAAGTTTATTTTGTGATGAATTATTAGGCTGTAAGTATATAGTTATTTATTTAATCATCATTTAAAATTATGTCAATTTAATTGCTAATTTACTTTGTTGAATTATAGTCGGCAAGTATGAAATTCTTTAAATTAAATAAAGAATGTTATAATAATTATTTCCATTCAATTAACAGTGAGTGAGTAGAAAATTTATTATCATTATATAAGAATATTTGAGTATTGTATTAATTGATTCTTTTTTGAAATAACAGGAAGTAAGTCTGAAGCTCATTTAAGTATTGTATCATATAACTATCAAATTCTTAATTTATTTTCTTTTATTATAGATTGTAATTATGAAATTCATTTGGCTATCGATAAGAACATTTGCAAATACCAATTGCTAATTGATTTTCATGTTGAATAATAGAGAGTGAGTAAAGACTTATTCGCATATTTTATTAAATGTATATAAATATTAATTATTAATACTTCAATTAACAGGGAGTGAGTATAGTATTTGTTTATGATAAATATCTACCAATACTGTATCATTAAATATATTTGCGTCAATGATTAGGCAGTGAGTATAAATTTATTTATGGCATATTGTTTTAACCAGTTTATGTCAGATTATTAGATAGATGCTAGGTTTATTAAATTAAAATACTAAGGTTATTTATGTGCAATAAAACTTCTAACATCATAACATAATATATTTTGATCTATTTCAGTACGTAAGTATATACTGTAAAGTTTATCAAAAATAATGCACCAATAGAATTTAAGCACGTTTTATTACCCGAACTGTGAGTATCAAGTTTAAATTGTTCATTAAAATTGCCAGGCGGTAGGTATCTAATTGATTTGCTTGTGGCATTTAGATATTGAAATTAATTATAAAATAATTAGTGTCATCTTAATTACAAGTTTGTAAATATATTGGTCATTTTATTTACTACTTGTTGTTTCGCGTTTTAATATCTGAGCAAATACATGTTGATTTGTTTTTTCTCAAAATTTATTAGGCAGTAAGTACGAATTAATGCTTGAAATAATTGCATATAACTAAACCTGTGCATTTTACTCATTAAAAGAAAGTGGTTATAAGATGTACTTTTTTTTTCATTTACTATTAATTATCTATATTGATTATACATTTGCGTATTAAAGACGGTGAATTATAAGTTTTGTATTTTATTTTCATTAAACATTTGGTATTAGAAATTAATATGTTATATATGACTAATTACCAGACCGTGAGTATAACTTTTACCGTATGGCTCAATCTATCGAAAATTTGTTTACAAATAACCTAATTATTTATGCGTAAAAGGGAGTAAGTATTATATCATCGTACTTTTAATGTTTGTTTATAACCATCGTATAACAATAAATTCATTTTACTTTCAAAATTTCAGATCGTAAGTATATAATTTATAACTATAAAATTAATCACAAAGAATAAGCATTTCTTTAATCGAAATTTGCTAATTCTAAATTATTAGTTTGTAAGTGCAAAAATTTATTTCTTATAATTATAAATGAATGACCATTAAACAATATTTGCAATTAATCAGGGCGTAAGTATATTTTTTAGAAAGTAAACATAATGTTTATTTATTTTTCAACTAAAATTAATCATGGATTTTTTAATTCATATAACTATTAGGCGGTAATTATATAATACATCTTATCAAAGCAAAAAAAAAAAATAGAAATCAAACTACATTCCTCTTACTAGGTTATCTATTATAGTGTACACGGCAAATCATTTGAATTTGCAATTAATCAATGGGATAGACATAATTTTGACCCAAAGATTAGTATAAATCCGACGTATTTTTATGAGATATCTGTTGCGACAAATAATTTAGAATTTTTATCCAAGGAAATATTTGGCAATTTCATGGAGATTAACTTATTGGATGATCTTAAAAAAATTAATGATTATTCAGCTAAGTTGGGTGTATTAATCAAAGAAGGATTATTTTTTGCGTCTAACACCCTTTCCTATATTTCCAAAAATCACAATGAATTCGTCAAAGGATGGAAGAATGATCTTGACTATCTAGGAAAAATCAATAATCTAGCTGATCCGCATTTAAATTTTATTGAAGAATCCATCGAAAATTGCAAAAAATTTGCTGATCGATTTAGTGAATTTCATGAATTTATTAACAGTGGAATTATAAACCTTGAAGAGTCACTTTGGAAAATTAAAGATAAAACGGATAAAACAATATATGAACAAATTATAGAAAAAAAGAAGGAGATCGACGAATGGAGTCAGAAATACATTGGAATCTTTAATTTTACAAATAATAAGAAGGTAACTGAAAATTTTTTTTACTTTGTTATTATTTAAGTCCTTGTCAATTTATTTTATTTTTTATTATTTTTAATAAAGAAAATAGACGAAGGAAACGCTAGTTTAAAAGAATTAAATGAAAAAGGATATAAAAATTTAATTATGGATCGCCTGATTGTCGAATTGGAATGCATTATAAATATAAGACTGAAAACTTTAAAATTAAAAGAATTATCAGGTAAATTTTAGCTATATAAAAATTTTATATGATTATAGCTAATTTTAAATTTATACATTAGATTTTTGGAAACGAATTTTCGACGAATTTCAAATAAACAAAGAATTAATGAAGGAAAATGTAAACCATGGCGAATTATATGTAAAAGAGTATGCAATTGAACATACAATTGATCATTGGGCAAAAATTGGATACATTATTGATACTTTTTTTGCAAATATATCATGCCCCATCGCTAAATAGTTGAAAAGGTCAGGAATTTAAAGTTAGGATATTTGAAAATTATAGGTATATAATTAGATTAGTATATTCTATCACACATATTTTATTAGCTCTTATTATACTACACTTATATTATCGAGCATTTGATGTATTAGTTAAATATTATATATACTGTATACGTATACTTAAAGGATACTGTTTTTAGCAATATACTTCGTATGTATGATCACGTCATGAATGTAATGGTACTGATTAGTGATGAATAAATGGCTCGGTTCTATTCGACTATCTCATTTAAGTCGCAACAATAAACAGCTCGGTTCCGGCTCTTCAAAATCATTAAGCCGAAATAAAGTCGATTAAAATCATAATAAAGTAACAGGTATAAAAATATTGTAAAATTAAATTTCTAGAAAAAAGTAGAATATAAACAAATAAACAACTGGAGCATGTATAAATATATACGCCATCCGCTAGCATTTAGTAGAAGAGAATTGTACAGTATTAGTATTCATAGTTTATTAAATAAAGCATTTATTGTAAACTCTTACCAGTGTCATTATATTGTTTGCCGATTGCATGCATGCTTGTAACTTGTACACGGGACTTCGACAAACTGGAGTTTGACTCGAAGAATTGGGAAGTTCTAGTGACTAAGCAAGGCTCAAGGGAAAAGTCAAAAGATGTAAAGTTAGCAAGTGACAGAAGAACCGGTCAAATTGATATACACTTTTGAATGTTCTGTTTCTCATTTGCTTGAATGAGGTGCTTAATGTATCTTCTCCTTTACAATGCTTCCAGAATCCTTTCCAATCGATTTCCTCTGGATTTTGGATCTCCTTCTTCCATTTAGCTTGGATTCTATTCTGATTGGTCCATTGTATTAGAATTTTTCTTTCATACAATTCTTTAATAAATAGTCTTATTGAAGTGTCTACTGGAATGTTATTCCAGGAGGGAGTTGAAACTGGCAGGATTTTTGACAGTTCTGTCCAATGGATTTCCTGCTCTTCCCTAGCTAATTTGGCAAGTTAATCAACTTGATTGTTCACTGTATCTTGACCATGTGCTTTAATCTTGATTAATTCTACTTGGATTTCTTTTCTGATTATTGTGTCGAATATGTGCAATCAAATTTGCCAATTGGGAATCTTCATTTTCCTACAAGTTGTATTCTTTAAATATAGTATCTTCAGTTTCTGATATATACTGATGCAATTGGCACTATCCATTCGAATCTCTATCCTACTTTTGTTTGATACCATTAAAATTGCCAGGAGAATTGCTACTAGTTCAGCTCTTGCTGGTAAGAACCAGTTGTCTACTCCGATTTGAAAGCTTCTTCCTGGATTAGGCTCTCTGGTTTGTAACCAGACAGTACCTATTTTAATTATTTGATCTTGTATTTTTTCTATCAAGCCATCTGTATAGAATTGGTATATGCCTTTGTATTGACTGTTCTTGTTAAGCTTGTACTCTTTGTATAGTTCTTGGCTCAAGTCAGTTATTTCGATATTTTCTCGAATAATTTATAGCCTGTAGTCGATTATGTCTATTTTCCTAAATTTGAACATATATAACTCTGGATTATCTGTGGACTCAAATTTTGCTCTGGCCAAGCTTTCAAGCATATAAATTTCTATAGAAATACAAGGCTCTCTGCTTTTTTTTGCTTTGTGATATTATTTAATCAATTAAATAAGAATTTGAGCTTGTTTCTGTGAGAATTAAATGGATCCAAATTGATTTTGATGAGTTTTGTTGCTCCTGTACTTGTACTGGTGGCTTGATAAAACTCAATTTCTTGTATAATAGAGTTATTTGTTCCTTTGAGTCTGTATCAGACAAGATCATTGTTTTCCTTTTGATATACTTGCCATTCTTATTTTTTTTTATCCTATTGTCGAGCTGGAGAAAAATATTTCTTTCTTGCTTTATCTACTCTCTGTCTTGCCAATTTGAATTAAGAATTCCAAACTCATTGGCTATTGATTCTTGGATTTTGCTATACCAATAAGGTTTCAGTCCTCTGCTTCAGCTGTGGCTGGATTGAATAAACTTTCAACTTAGAAGAGTACCTGTCTCCTTTTTTATAAGTTGATCAATATACATAATGTTGTACTTTCACATAGATTTGTTGACCTGATTGTATATTGTCTGATCATTAAGCAATATTTTGATTAAAAAAGCATCTCCTTTCTACTCAAAAATATTTTTTTATTGAGAGTCTGAATACATTATTCCTATGCTGTTTGCTGTTTTGAAAATAGCTACTGCCAGATTTGTTTTTGGCTATTTCTGTATTGTTTTTTCCATCAATATATTTGTGGATTCCCATTGCTAAATTTGGGCTTGTTTAAGACGAATGATTACTGATGTGCTGGGATGTCCAGTACCATTAAACAGACCAATAAAATTGGAGATCTGGCTTTCTAGTTGAATTTTGTTAATACTTATAAGTCTATACAATGCTTTGTAATATATAACTAAATTATAAATTGTTTTGGTTATATTGGTTATATGCTTCAGTATTGTTCGAAGCTGGGTTGTGAGGGTGTGTACTATATTGGAGTTGAAAAGAAAGTGTTGTGCTTTGTATTCTATATGTGGAATCAAAATCCTATTTAGTATATATTCCATATATCTGTTTGTAATTCTCTTCCTTTTAAAGACAGTTAGTACCGATTGGATCTCTTGCTGGATTCTAATGATTGTATTTTTTATATAACATTTATTACCTAGCCAGATGCCTAAAAATCGTAAATGATGTTTTTAATCCAATTCTATAACTTTTTCTTGATTAATCCTCATGTTTACTTTGTTGGGTTCCTTACTTTTACTGTTGATTATTATCAAAACAAATACTTTGCTATTGATTTGGAAATCATTGGCTATATAGAATTGTGCTGTTCTTTCTAGAATTCAGTTTATATATTGTTTGAATCGGGCAATCTATATAATATTATTCATGTATGTTAGAGCAGCTTGCCTGATAGCTAAGTTTCTAATATTTTCCTTGTCATTGGATAGTTTACTTGGATCTGTTGGCCATTTGCAATTCATTCTATATCCTAGTTTCTTGTTTTCTTGAATTTCGTATAAAAAGGGGTCATAGAAGATTCTTTAAAGAAATGGAGAAATTGTTTTACCTTGATCAATGCCATTATCAACTATGATCTCTTTTGTAAGACTTATATTTGTAATTACCTTAATTAATCTATTTGTAAATGGTTCTAACTATACAAATGGTAAAATTGAATTCAATCATTTTTCAAAAACTATATTATGGTAGAATTACTAAGTAATATATAATAATTAATTGGAATTCATATTTAATTCAGAATCATATTGTCGATCAAATTTTCTTTTATGATAATATGAACACATATATGATTCTAGCATTAGTTTGATAATTTTAGGTGGGATCTTTATTCTTCTTAAAGCTTTTTTCAGTATTGTTTGGCTGACTGTATCGTATGCTTTTGCTGTGTCTTGTAACAAAATCCAAAGTTCTTTTTTTTCTTCTCTGGCATTCTCACAAATATTGTTCAAAAGGTAAATAGACTCTATACATATGGTGTAAATTATTTTGCTATTGACTCAATTGTCAAAATTCTCAAAAATAATTGCGTCAAATTGTATCAAGGATCTATCAATTTCTATCACATATATAATGGGCTTTAAGGTACTTTTTCCTGGCAGCCCTGCAAAATGGATTCTTTTAAGATATTCTTGTTTTTGCAAACTGTTATCAAGCGATTGTTGAATATTTTAATAAAACACTTTTTTGTAGCTTCGAGAAGCACAATTGATCTTGTATTGTTCAAGTCTCCTTGCCATTCTTTCCCTTTGAATATTGGATATAAGAGATTATTTTTCCAGGCAGATAGTGTTATACTGTGCTTTAAGAACAGATTGTAAAAGTTGTACAATATTGTTATTGTTTTGAGACTCAGGTTTCTAAGCATTTCATACTTGATCTTGGTTAAATCTATAGCTTTATTGTTAAGTAATTCTTGCAATATTTCTCTTAACTCATTCAATTTGATTTTTTTTTCTAGTTTGTTGTACCAGGTATCTTGAATTTCTAGCTTAGGCTTGTATTGCTTCTTCCACTGCTCATCAAGAAGGTAAAAGTTACTGTTTCATTTCTTGAATGCTTTTTGGTAAAAGAGTTCAGTTTGTTGTAAAATTTCTTTCTTCTCAATTGTTAAATACTCTTTTTCTAGATTATCTATAGTTTTAATTCTACATATTAATTATTATTTTGTCTCTAAAGTTTTTTGTTAGTATTTGGATAACTTATCTTTAATTGTTTTTGAGGTCGAGGCATCTGAATTCTATTGCTTTATTGATTTTTTGATTAATTTACTTTCTTTTCTCTTTGATGCATATCTTTTTGGCCACTTGTTTAAATTCCTGGATATAATTCTTTATCTGATCTAAGTAAGCAATACTTGTTTTAGGGTTTTAATAGTGTTTTAATCAGCATTTGTAATTCTGATCCTGCTATCAAATTAATTTGATTCATTAGATTTTTGATTTGCTATAATGTTTCTGTTGATGTGGAATCCATGGGCTGTTCTTTTTGCTACTTGTTTATTCTGCATAACTGTTTGTAGATATTGAGCAGAAGATTTTCTTTTCTGTTTTCTGTAATATTTCTGTTTCTGTAAACACCTCTCGATGTTATCTTAGTTGTATATAACTTGTTAAAGGCTGTAAAAATAATGATTTTGTCAAATAAATTTCACATATCTTGAATTTGATTGGTTTGGAAAGTGTCTAT